ATGTTAAGTTGTACACAATATTGGTGACACCACTTCTTAAATTATGAGACCAAAATCAGCATTCGAGGACTAACATAAATTATAAGCAGTTCCACTGAGTTTTAAGAGATGGATAGCTAGAATGAATGGATTGTCATTTGAGGATAGGTTGAGCACACTGTTCTGTTTTACCCCACTGGAGTTGAGTGTGAGGGGTGACTTGAAGTGTTTAGATCCTGAATGGCTTTGTGGGTGAATCCAGAACTGGAGGGCACGGTTTAAAAATTAGTTTTGGTCCTTTATTGAAACAAGATGAAGAAAATTTTTATTTTGAGGTTTCTGTGACTTCTGAACACTGCCTCACAAAGTGGAGTCATTGAATTTCCTTAATGTAAAGGTAGGTAGATTTTTGCCTGGCAAGGGAATATCATATTATCAAGTGTAGACCAGATATGGAATTTGAAATACAAACAGATCAGGTATGATCTTATTGAATAGCAGTGCAGGCTTAAGGCCTGCTGCTGATTGTATTTTATATTCATGTATGTTGTTTCAGATTCTAAGTCTTTTCATGGCTTTTGCAGTAGCTTTGCCAACATGTTTCCACCCTTGAAACCTTGGTTTCTTACTATGCTGCCTGTTGCATTCTTCATCCAGTGACCCCATTCACAAGCTTGGCTTGATAGCAGCATTTTCAGTTTCTTCAGACCTGCTATCAAATTGCTCTATGTCTTCACAGTAACTTCATCAAAATGACTTGGTTTGGCTACTCCTTCAGTAACCTTCCATCAACCTTTTCCCAACCTTTCCTCTTTCTGCACTGTAGGGATTCTCTGATACAGTGATTCTACTTTTGTATCCAGTTTTTCTGACAGGTACTTCAGAATGTATTTCATTGATTTTACAGATTATAGGAAAAAAGTAATGCCACTACATAGGGATAACATTAAACATAATGCGTTTTGAATTAGATGAGTTCTCATCTCTTCATGTGTGGCTAAAACACTTGGATTTGTGACAAGTCATGTTCCATAGGGAACCCAAGTTGATTCACTTTTCTGGTGAGCAATGCAAATGGTCTCTTAGCAGTTATGGCATATTTGCTTAAGACATCATGCAAATGAATAGATAAGCGTGTTTTCAACACCATTTGATTCTATTTAAATCAATTAAGTAGCTAGGAGAGGTGGTATTGGTGTTTGTTTTCTGAAAAATTCTGTACATGAACACAGATGAATTGCCAGTCTAATTGGCGATCAAAATGAAAGTATTTAGTTTAACTGACTTAATTGATAACTATTAACAAGAGATTTTTTTTCAAATACAACATTGTGGTGTTTCATTATCTGTTGAAGGTGGTAACTTGACCTCTTGAACTTCAGCAAAATACGTTGATCGTACTGAATTTTAAGCACTGTAGCAATAAGAGACAATTTTGAGAGAATGCAGTGTGGAGCTGGAGGAACACAACAGATCAGGCAACAGCAGAGGAGTAGCAAAGTCTATGATTTGGGTCGGGGTCCCTCCTTCAGAAGAAGGGTCCTGACCCGAAACGTCAATTTTCCTACTCTTCTGCTGCCTGGCCTGCTGTGTTCCTTCAGCTCCACACTGTGTTGGCTCTGACTCCTGCATCTGCAGTTCCTGCTATCTGAGTTTTGAGAGAATAATGTTTTAATCAAAATGGCATGTAACCAGAATAGGTTGTGAGAATTTGACATTTTTTTTGACTAGTAAAATAATTTTGAGGACAAGATTTAAACAGGTAGCAATGAAGTTGATGAACCGGGTTCTCTGAATTGAACTGAGTGTCTTGAGGAAAGACATGGGAAGCAGTTCCACACCGGGTTCTCTGAATTGAACTGAGTGTCTTGAGGAAAGACATGGGAAGCAGTTCCACCCTCTCCATCCCAGTGGATTGTTGTTTCTGTTGCTAGGACTCTACGCAAAAATACTTATTTTAATATCGTAAGAAACTGGATGCATATTGTTCTGATAGGACGGAAGGTTATCGCAATGAGATTTAAGGATCTCTGTTGTGTCTTTGTCACAGGTATATGGAACCTGATGGGGCCACATATCCAAACTAAATTAGTGTTCACCTTAATTTCCATTTAACTTGAGTTATGGATGCTTGAACAAATCTTGGTATACCTACTTTCAACTTATTGATGAAGCAGTTTATATTAACAACAGACCTTTCCAAATATTTTGTCCATGCTGGGATAAACCAAGGAATAAGAAATAGAAGCACAGGGAAGTTTAGTTTCTCTGTAGAAGATTAGAAATAGTCTACGACCAGATTTTGGGTGACTAGATGCTTGAGAGCATTGCAGTTATATTGAGATGTGAGTTTTTCTTAGTGGAGTTGGAGAGAAATTTCAGTTTTGTCTTGGCTTTGTTTGTTATATTTTTGTACTGTGGAAGGAATCTTAATGCTGTAGACACATGGTGCCCATTCTGCATTTTGAGCCTTAAAGATGTAAGCTGTGAAACCTTGGGACCATACAATGTTAAAATTCCTATTTCTGCTCACATGCATGTGTATAGTCTTGGTGTTTCTAAATTTATTTTCATTAAGGCAATAGGATGGAAAAACACCCTCTCTACACAGATTGTAGGCAGGTCAGACAAGTGACTAAGGTTTATTAAATGCAATAAGAGCACTGAGTACACAGTTGCTTGGAGTTTTGATTTTCACGTGACCCTGCAACTGTACTTTGACACAGGTTGTGCAGGGTTACCGTTTGTTTGTGATCTTTAAATGATTTGAGTCACACTAGGTAGAAGACTTCCAATGTTAGCAGAATTCCTTGTGTACTCCTTTCTGCTTTGCTGATCTTGCATATAAAATAATTAAAACTGAGCTAGATGTATCCTGTCGCACTTATGAATCACACCCATCTTTGCTCTTGTACACGAGTTCCCTATCTTAAACTTCAAAATTTAACATCTACACATGAAAGTTCTGCCATGGTTCTGCTAAATCCTACTCGTGCAAGGTATACAAACTGAAATGCCATCTGAATTTGTTTTCAGTCTGATTTGTGATGCATTCTCTCCCCTTTTATTTGCTATTCCATCAGCCAAAGAGTTCTCAGCCACATAGTTTTGGAATTGTCTGCCAAAATCCCTCAACCTCTGCATCTTAAAAGCTTGAATGCTGGGTTTGCTCACTCCGTCTTGGGCTGTGGCTGAAGCTTGTTATTTAAAGGATATTCTGTGCAAAGGTGCTTTTTGAAAACATGCTTTTAACGACAGTTTCAAGTCACTCTTTAATTTTGTAATGATATAGGTGTGTAACCCATATCTTTTCTCATTTGATGCAAACTGCTACAAAATTATCTATGACAGTTGAAAGCTGTGAAAATGACAAAGTTCTACATGCTCCACCCCACTCCAGTTTTCTTGTTACCCTGGTCATTATTGAGATAGAACATAGAACATAACAGCACAGTACAGGCCCTTCGGCCCTCGATGGTTTCACAGGTCGGCGCAACAATCTGAAGCCCATCTAACCTAAACTATTCCATTATCATCCATATGTTTATCCAATGACCATTTAAATGCCCTTAAGGTTGGCGAGTCTACTACTTTTGCAGGCAGGGCATTCCACGTCCTTATTACTGTCTGAGTAAAGAACCTACCTCTGACATCTGTCCTATATCTATCACCCCTCAATTTAAAGCTATGTCCCCTCGTGCTAGCCATCACCATCCGAGCAAAAAGGCTCTCATTGTCCACCCGATCTAATCCTTTGACCATCTTGTAGGTCTCTATTAAGTCACCTCTTAACCTTCTTCTCTCTAACAAAAACCACGTCAAGTCCCTCAGCCTTTCCTTGTAAGACCTTCCTTCCATACCAGGCAACATCCTGGTAAGTCTCCTCTGCACCCTTTCCAATGCTTCCACATCCTTCCTATAATGCGGCGACCAGAACTGTACACAATACTCCAAGTGCTTTTTTACCAGGAAAGGATTTTGTCAGAAATTGACATGGTTTGAAAACTCCAAACGGTGAGAGAGTGGATGTTTGTCTTTTGAACCCATATTCCCACTTTGAATGCAAAAGTTAAGTTAGAATGAGATGTTTGGGTGAATGTCTGAATGTGCAAAAACAGGGAATCCCTTGAGGAAGTATGCTCACTGGACATATTGGTAGATTTGGTGATTTGAATTGCACATGTTAAGTGGTTGAAAAACTTGAAAGCAAAGTTTAATAGTATGATATAGCCACTAACAGGCATATAGTGTTAACACATAGTTTGTTACTTTGCCCTGTCCTCTGTCATCAAGATGCCTTTCTATAGCAATATCTTGTGTGAAATGCAATACTCTTTGAAAGTTTAAAACTTTGATTCAAAGACTTATCAAAGACCTATCAAAGCACGTAGCATACGAATATTCCAATTTGAGAACCTGATTTTTGAATTGGATTGATGGGTGAAAGTTCTTATTTCTGCTAGCTCTCTGTGCATATGGCATTAGTCAATAAATGTGGAGCTGGAAAAGCACAGCAGGTCAGACAGCATATGAGGCGCAGGGAAGTCCACGTTTCGGGCTGAAACTCAGGACTGGCACTACATTAGGCAGTTACGTTACATTGCGTCAGTTCCTAGTCATCTGCATCACTGTTAGATTCCAAAGTTCATATATGAATGTTTGTTTGTTTTTCTTTTAAAAGTAAAAGTTGGACACCAACACTTCAAAAAATTGCAATTTAAAATTCAAACTTCCCGTTTTTAATAAAGTACTTAAAATAGTTAATTCTTGATTTGAGACAGTTCTTAAGACAGTTAATTGTTTGGAGTGTATTTTCTTCATATAGGGGAATTGGGTATCATTGGCTGGATCACCATTTGTTGTCCATAGAATGGCAATTGAATACCAAGTCAAGATGGTGCGTGGCTTGAAGGGGAACTTGCAACTGATTGTGTTCCCATGAATCTGTTAACCTTGTCCTTCTGGATTTGGAAGGTGTTTTTGAAGGATAACTTTGTGAATTTGTGCACTTAATGTTGTAGATGGTACACATACACGGAGTGTCAGTGGTAGGAAGAGTGAATGTTTGTGGATATGTTACCAGTCAAGAAATCTGCTTTATCCTGGTTGGTGTCAAATATCTTGTGTTGTTGGAGCTGCACCTAACCAAACAAGTGAGTGTTTTCAAATTTTCAGTACCTTGACTATTAGTTTTTTGTCCACCTTGTTTAAGTGCAGTACATCTGCTAGTATGTTTCTAGACTTTTCACGATAGGCATTGCAATTCCATATTGAGATTCTGCGTAGTTTGCAATAACTGCAGCAGACGTGTAGAGTCTTGTTGTCTTTGTCAAAATAATAGTGGAGCCTTGGATGCCAAGTATGATCAAATTGTAGGTCTACTTGAAGACAAAGGACAGAATTTATGCATGGAGCTGGAGGAAGTAGTTGAGGGCCTTAAAGAATACTTTGCATCATTATTCACAAAAGAGAAAGACATGGTGGATGGTGAGTGTAGAGGCGGGGGGGAGTGGTGGTGGTGGTGAGTATGTTCATATTTTAGGGCATGTCAGTATTAAAAAGGAGGAGTTTTTGGGTGCTTTGAAAAGCATGAGGTAGACAAGGACTTGATGGGATCTATACCAGAATACTGAGGTAGGTGAGCAAGGAAATTGCCAGGGCCTTTTATGAAATCTTTGTGTCCTGTTCAGTCCAAAAACTGGAGAATAGCTGATATTGTCCCTTTTGTTTAAGAAGGGCAACAAGGATAATCCTGGAAATTTCAGGGAGGTGAGCCTACATACAAGACCGGAATTGTTGAAGATTCTTAGGGACAAGATTCCTCACATTTGGGGATTTTTGATGATTATAGGTGACCTAGTAGGATAGATACAGAACTGGCTTGGTCATAGAAGACAGTTGTAGTTATTATGGACCAGACAAAGTTCCCTCAAAATATATTAAGATAGCCTAAGACCTTAACTTTTCTTCTTATTTTAAAGATAAGTGTAAGACGTTGCATTCCAGATTCAATTCGATTGGTCACCTACTTGACTGCAAGAAAAACACTTTAATTTTGTAATACTTTTAATGTATTTTAACTGTAGTGTAAAAAATATTGGATTAACTATAATACTATCAAACTGCTTAACAAAGGTGTGTGAGTGTGTGTATAAATTAACATTCGTTCACTGTTCCAATATAGTAACATCTCATAAAGCCACCCTTGGCAAAGGCAAATTCAGTGAAATTGTCTCCCAAGCAATTTTAACAGCAGGAAGACAACCCTAGCTTTTAGCTGTAACAGTGGGATAAGAGATTCCACATTCAGCTTCTAGACCCCAGCCATTGCTACTGAATGCTAAACTAAAAATCCTGGTTTTGTGGGAGCTTGACTCCACCCATTCAGGCAACTTCAGTAGCAGCAGCGATGGCATCATGGCCCAACGTGGGAAGAGCAAGTGGTTTGGGATATCCCCTAATATTGGTGGTGATGGCATCCAGAACAGGCAGCTGAGGTCTCCTGGAGAGTGAGCTAAGCGGAAGACTCTGCTCAGACAACTGAACTTTTAACTTAAACTAGGAAAATAAAGGAATTAAGAAGGACTTTAATGTTAACTATTACCTCATTTCTTTATCTTTCTACTTAATCTGTGAAGGTAATGCTTAACTTTTTTAACTCTTTCTTTTACTACTTTGTGCCTAGGTTTTTTGTGCAAAGGTACATTTGTACCTAAGATGGTGCTTTGTGCAGCAATATTATACACTTTTCTGTTTTTACACCTTTTTATGCACTTTATCTGTAGGTAGAAAGTATTCATTGCATATAAATAGAAATTATTAAGCACAGAACCCTAGTCCTCACTTTATTTATGTGCCTGAACCAACAAGTAAATTGGGAAGCCTTCGTGTATTTGAATAAAATCTTTAACTTTTGTGATGCCTCCAAGAATAGCGGACTTGATTTCTGGTGCAGAACCCCAGTGAGATGTGATAATTGAATGTATCTTCAAATTTAGAGGCTGAATTGGACCACTATTCATTCCAAATCAAGCAAGTCTAAACGTTGTCACATTTTTACTACATTTTAGGGATAACATATTGCGGTGTACCAGAATAACTAATTTGCTTAACTCAAATTATCAGATCAAAATTATGCATTTAGCCTACATTAAAGTAGCTTTCTCTAAGCTTCAATTGTAAGTCCATAAAATTTTCTGTTTCAGTGATTGGGGTTCAAAAATTCTAACAGTAGAAACCAATGTCTTTTGGACTGTCAAGCTCCATTTAGCAAGGAACTATAAGGAGAGCTGAGATTTAGTTTCCCTGCAGCAATACTTTTGAAGAGCAATCTCAAATGCGTTTAAACATGTCGAGTAAATCAAAAGTCTCAAATGCTGTGGTGAAAGGGGAAAAAAAAACGTCCAGCTTGGCAAATGAAGATAATATGTATAGTAGAAAGATAATTATGCTATCTGAGGAGCTAATGAGCCAGGCAGGTTGCTGAATTAGGCTCAACTTTCCGTGCTTGGGAGCTCTATAGATAGAACTGAAAGCAGAATAATCAGCTGTTAGGTTCAATGTTATGCTCAACAGGATTTGTCTTTCAGAGGGATGACAGGTGCAGCCTACACTTGGGCTAGTTAGAGTATAAAAGTTAGCCCTGCCTCAGCTCTCAGGCAATTGATAGATACATGAGAAACTGAATGCTGGCACCACTTGATGGGCAATTTATTTCTCTTTTTCTTTTTTTATTCAATGAAAACAAATTGACTTGAACTGGTAATCCTTTTACTTCTGTGGCACAAGGTTCTCGATTCAAGTCCTATTGAGCTTGAACAAAATAAAATCAGAGTCAACTTTCCAGTACAGTATTAAGGGAGTGCTGGACTGTCGGAAGTACCATCTTTCAGATGAGATCTTCAGCTGGGGACTGAGGATTTTGCTTTGTAGATTAGACATTGCAGAATAGAGAGAACATTTTAAATACTATGCTGTTCATTATTACAAAGCAAACATGTATTTTTATCGTGTGCATGAAAGCTGCAGGCTATTTTGTGTATGTTCTCTTCAACCTAGTTATTGCTGGAGACTGGTAATTGCTTTAAATCGACATTGTTAGCAAGTCTTCCGGAGAATTGACTTCAGAAATACGATGTTTTAGCAATTTATCTGGAATGTCTTCAGAAGTAAGCCTGAGGATTGGCCAATCTGATGATGTTGCATGTATGTTGAGTTTTTTTTTATTTTACTTTTCTGTTGTGATCATTAATTGGTTGAAAGGTCGTTGACCTCTCTAGCAAAGGTTTTGCTGTTCATCTTTGGAAAGGAAGATATAGTTCAGTGGCAAATTTCGTCTGTGCAAACCAGTGTGAACATGTGGAAGGGGACAAATGGGAACAATGCAGAGAAAATTTAGATATTTGAGTGAATAGACATTTGTTAGCATCGCGAGCTGAGTCATGGGTTGTACACTTGAAGCAAAGTTAAGCTCGTTCCACGTAATATGTAATTTCACCTTGCACTGGAAGGAATATTCCACAGCCCTGAGGTGTTGTCTTTAGGTTGGGTGTTAAACTGAAGGCCTACCTGTCATCTAAGATGGTCTCTAAAGATTTATTCTGTCTGTATGTATTTTTAAATCATTCATGGTAAAACAAATTTTCTGGCCAGTTGTCATTTTGCTTTTTGTGAGACTTTGTGTGCATATTGGCTGCGAACAGTGTCAACATTTCAAACACAGTAAGGCAATAAGAGGGAGAGTTTTTCTGGGTCAGTCAGAACAGTGTGGTAGCTGCAGCCTCCCCATGTGAAACAATTCTGTGACCAGTTCTTGCCATGGGTAAGCACTATCTTGTTCTGAGGGGTTCAAACACGCTTTTTTGTTTTCAGGGCTGACTATCTTGAACATAACAATGACTCACTGTATAGTGCTTTACGTATGCAAGAAGACAGTCAACACTATTTAATGTATTTGGCATTCTCTACATTGTGTGTACCAATGACAGCAATTTCTGTTCCATCATCTTTGTAATTGAAGCAGTCTTTTTCAAATGCAACAAGATCTGGACAATATCCAGGCTTGGGCTGGCAAGTGGCCAGTACATCTGTGCCACAACAATGCTAGACAAAGACCATCATCAATAAGAAACAATATTACAGCTGCCCGTTGACATTCAGTTGTGTTTCCATCACTGAATCCCCCACTACCCTTGGGGTTACCATCGACTAGAAACTCAACTGGATGCAACACATGAGCACAGTGGCTGCAAGTGCAGGCCAGAGGCTAGGAAGACTGCAGCAGATAATTCACCACCTGACACCCAAAAGCCTGTTTATCTGCAAGGCACAAGTCAGGACATTGATGCTCCAACAACACTCAACACCATATGGGACAAAGCAGCCTGCTTGATTTGCATCATATCCACAAACATTCACTCCCTCTACCACCGCTGCTCAGAAGCAACAGTGTGATGCAACATGGACTACAGAATTTCACCAAAGATCCTCAGACAGCACCTACCAAATCCATGACCACTTCCATCAGGAAAGATAATGGGAACAAGAACACCTCCAAGTTCCCCTCCAAACCACTCACCATCCTGACTTGGAAATAAATCGCCGTTGCTTCACTGTCAATGGATCCGAATTCTGAAATTACCTCCTAAACCACAATGTGGGTCAATCCACAGCAGATGGATTGCTGCAGTTCAAGAAGGCAGCTCACCACCAGCTCAAGGACAACTAGGGAAGGACAGTAAATGCTGGCCAGCCAGAGACACCTACGTCCCACAAATGGATGAAGAAAACTTGAGATTTTGAATTGTCGTAGTTTGAAGAGATTTCAATCTGTTCCAAATGTAATCAAATGCCTCAACATCACAGCAAAGAATATACTGTTGAACACAGGGGCTGTGACATACCCATGCTTCACGCCTTTTTCTTTACTTGAAAGAGGCCAATGTGTTCACCACAGTTAACATTCTGACTGTAATTTTTAATCCTGAATCTGCTGTATCAGCACAACCAAGGATGGCAAAAACTTTGTGCAAGATTTATGTGTTTACATTATCAGATGTTTCAGCTGAACAACAAGTTCCATCTGTTGCTTGTAGCATTTCTGTTGTAATTGCTGAAGATTGTCTCAGCTTTTCTGAATCAACTTGATTTTCTT